CCTCGATCGTCTTGACATACGTCTCGATCTGATCTGCCGGTAACATCTCGACCGGTTTCCCGGGCGCCATGATGGCGATCTCGATGTTCTTGGCTCCCGTTTGGACGACTTCGAGGAGGGATTTGACGGTCAGCGAGATGGTGGCTTCGCGGTCCAGGTCGTCTTTGTGGTGGCGCTCGAGGAATTCGCGCACGGTTTTGGAGGAGCGGCCGATGGCGTTGGCTTTCCTGTTGTATCGTTAGCTTAGGCAGGAGATTGAGGAGGACACATGTTCAAGGGTATAGGTGTGGGTTTACCACGCGGAGTAGATGCCAGATGGTTCTGTCTGGTAGAGCCGGGGCGTTTTATCTCCCTTGTCGAATCCGACGATCAACGTGCTGATGCCAAAGGGCCGCACACCTCCGCTCTGGGTATATCTCTGCTGCACCCCCGCTACATACTTGGTGATGTACTCGATCGTCACGGGGTCTTCGACCGTCAACCGGTGACTCTGTGCTTCTAATCGTGCCTTGTCGACCAGGATGCGCGCGTCGGCGTTGAGACCGGCAAAGGCCAGGCAGACATGTGTGTCGATGAGGCCGATCTTGGAGGGTGTGATGCGTGTATCTTGCAGTTTCATGGCCGAACGCTTCTCGCAGCCCAGAACGACGATGTCGGCACCCTTGACGCCCACGGCGCACGTGCCGCGTTTGACGGCTTCGAGCGCATACTCGACTTGGAACACGTGGCCGTCGGGACTGAGGAGGAGGAGTTGGTAAACGGATAGAGCTTCGTTATTGGGGGGATATAGCTACCTGAAGACTGTTGGAAATGTTAGCAGGGAAGATGTGCTATACTAAAAGACTGGACGGACCTGAAAGTGCGCGATCGTAGGAACCCATGTTTCGAGATGAAGAGTATAGTTATTAGGGAGTTCGGTATGGTGAGGGTGGGCAATGAGGAATAATTACCGGGTGGTTGATGGGCGAATTCCTAGACGCGAATACTGGTGTTGCCTCGCTCTGGAAGCTCAACCAGGAAGGTCTGATGCCAAGACCATTACACCCCTACTAGTACCTACCCATGCATGGCAATCCATCTTCCAGACAGACGAGTCTCTACGTAGCATTTCTCTATCGATCATCTCCGGTCTCGCGGTTTGTAATGAGGTCGAGGGCGGTTCGCCTCTCGAATGATACGGTGGTTTGATTTTTCAAGCTTATTGAAAATAGGCCACTCAATTTCTATCCTTACAATTACTTTTACAACCCTGAAGGACTTCGACCAACAATACCTTTGTGAGAAGAATTCTCGCAGAGCTTCAAGTATGCTGGTCGCTTCTATGTGAGATAGCTGTATCTTCATTGATGCTGGAGCCGAGAGAATTTTCCTACATGAGACGGACTGGATGGGGCATCGCTGTGATAACTGCGCTTTTCATTATTCCTATGCCTTCATAGGAACTGATAATGTATAGAAAATTACCAGCACTCGGGGGTTTGATAACACTGAAATAAATGAGATGCTTCGAGAAAAGGAACGAGGACCGGGGGAGAGCAATGTGGTGGAGACACGTCCAAGGTCTCAGGCGACGTAGATGGCGAGTTAGGCGAAGTTGCAGGAGATTCCCATAAAGGACTTCGGCAAGCAACACAATCAAAACGATAGAAGTCAGTATGGCCCCCAGTAACAGGCGGAAAATAAGATTGGCCGGTTCTAAAGGCAGAGGCTGTGACTGGGAAGGTTTCGAATGGCCTGTATATGGAAAGCGATGAGAACTGTGAAAGGCGTGGTGATGATGTGCATGGGTTTAAGTATTGGTACATTCCTAAGATACATCGTAAACTTCTGTGCCTCCTTTTCGAACTAGCCAAGCAAGAAGAATACTGGTAGTCCAGATTGAGGTGTACGCAGTGCGAGTCGTCCATGATAGAGTGAGGAGGGTCAATTACGCTTGGCACCGTTGGCGTCCATCCAACCCGCTGTCTAAGGGTAACTCTAGAGCTTCAACAACAGCACAAGTACTAAAAGCTTGGGGACTATCGGTCCAGGACACACGAGACGTTACGTCCCATCATACGCTATGATCTTATCAGTCAGATCAGGTGCTGCCTCAGCTGTGAGACGAATTGTCCGACCATCCACACGTGGTTTCATCGCAGCACCATCTCTCTTTTCGGGAGAGGTCAAAATACAAGCCAACGACCCCTCACCAAAGCCTGCCCCGCAGAATGTATCGGAGACCAATGCCTTAGAAATTGATGCGGGCGGAGCCCGTGATGCGCCTCTCCAAGAATTGCCAGAGGATGGGGAGAAGCGACGAGTGATGCAGGCTCCCAATCGAGCAACAAAATGGTCTCCGAGTCAGCAGCCCAGAGAAATGGCTATGAGGGGTCCGCGTTTTGAGCAGGTCATCATGGAGTGGCAGGTGAGCATGCACTGTGCCACTCTTCCCGAGAAATGGGACTGATATTGACAAGCCACGACCACTCGCTGCAATCGAACTCATTCACAAACAGCCAGTACGATGGACACACAGTTCGAAGGTGGTTTGTGATGGCGGAGGAGGGCCATTAGGTCATCCCAGGATATTCATCAATGTCGATAAGCCGCAAGTGGTTCCCTGCACTTACTGTGGTTTGCCCTATGTAAGTCGGATCTACTCCGAGCACTTTGACAAACAATCATTATTTGCTTTGGCTATGCTTTATGTGCTGACGCTACTTATCTACCACAGGCACACGAACACCACAGAAAGTACCTCGAATCCTTACCATCCACGCCCTATCCCCTGAAGCCTCTAGGAGATCCAGCAGAGGTACCTGAGTCACAGAGGGTAACAGACGAACCCCTGGGACAGCGATGATTGTTGGGGCCGTGAATGATGGACATGGAGATAGGATTTTGCAGTTTATGCAGATCTACGACTGTACATATCTATACACAAAATCCAAGGAACCCTTCCAAATTGAATGAAGGTTGAAAGCACTCAATGTACCACGTTCAATTCTCCTAGAAGACCCGACACCGCTATCCACACCTATTCGCTAGTAATTTGACGTAGCAAACATCGACCTCTCAACAATTGGTGACGTGGTAGTCGTAGCAGACACAGACATGAGAAGAGGATCAGAAGGGGATCTATTAACGAACAGACCTTGTCAATCCCACCCTCTAATAGACCTTCAACCTGGGTCTTTCAAGAAATTTCGATTTCTTATTGGATGCTCTCATGAGAGTCTAGTATTTGCCGAGGTTCTGCCGCAATATATTTTAAGCTTAGAAATAAGTTGAATCTGATTCCAAGAACGGTTGACGACGCTACCTTGATGGCACCGTTCTATTCTCGATATGTCCCTAACAGCGGTGCTTCAGCAGCTAAACCCGCAAATCTCAGCTCGCCCCTGCCGTCAAAGAAGCGGAAGTTGGGCGACGAACAGGATGGTCTTCGCCAAGATATCAAAATCCGCAAAAAGACTATTCGGGAGCAACCACAAGATGTCCAGAAAGAGGTCGTGAGGACAAAAGACTCTACGGACAGGTCGAAGACATTGTTTAAATCTAGTAGTGATAGCTCGGAGAATATCCCTCAAGAAGTGGGGAGGGTAAATGGTTCGCTCGAAGCTGGCGACAATGGGGATGAATCCTCGGCTTTAGAAGAGCAATCTGTAAAAGTGCAGAAGAAGAAGGAGAAGAAGAGGAGAAGGAATTCCCCACGCGCTCAGCCCGAAGATGAAGCGCTTAACGTCTCTAGAACAACCCAAGATCCGAATCAGCAGGGTTCTGAAGTCGACAATGGAGTCAAAGCAGAAAGCGGCAAGGAGAAGAAGAAGAAACGACAGAAGACGAAAAACGTCACGGAGACTGTGAGTGGAGATAATGAGCAAACCAGCACTCAACAGGATCAGCATGGCACTCTTCGGTCAAAATTCGAGAAAGCTACGAAGAATACAGTGAGAAATGCACCAAGATTAGAGCATGACACCGGGCAGCAGCAAGATGAAAATCCAGAACTCCCAGAACTTCATGGTTTGGAGCCTTTACCGCAACCCCCACCGGCAGCTGAGAGTGATGAGAAACCCACGTTCTCTTCTTTGCCCCCCTGGCTTGCCAACCCGCTTCGGGCAGACTCTGGTCAATCCGTCGATTTCAGCAGTCTGGGCTTGGATCCTATAGTGCTTCAAAACATCAAAAAGCAGGGTCTAGAGACGACGTTCCCGGTTCAATCTGCCGTAATCCCAATTCTCACAGATGGACCAAATCGGCATCAAGGGGATGTGTGCATTTCTGCTGCAACAGGATCCGGGAAAACGCTTGCTTATGTGCTCCCCATGGTCCAACACCTGAAAACACTAGCTACGACCAAGCTACGAGGGTTAATAGTAGTACCTACTCGAGAACTAGTGCGGCAAGCCAGGGAAACATGCGAAGCTTGTGCTGCTGGAACGAATGTCAAAATTGCTACAGCAGTTGGCAGCAAGTCTTTGCATGACGAGCAAGAAAACTTGGTGGAAACGTACCAGATTTACGACCCAGATGAATACAGGAAACAGCAGGATGCCCCAGTCGACTGGAGCAAGGTTGATCTTGAAGACCTGTTGACCGAGTTGGACAACGAAACCGAAGCTGTTGTCGACTTTGTCGTCAAATATCGGTCTAAGGTCGACGTCCTAATCTGTACGCCTGGGCGACTGGTTGACCACATGCGATTTACCAAAGGCTTTACTTTGAATGATGTACAATGGCTCATTATTGATGAAGCCGACAGACTTCTGAATGAGAGCTTCCAGGAGTGGACAGAAATCGTTGTACCGGCTCTACAGAGCCGAGCCGCGCATATCCTGCAAGACAACATCTTGCGGCGTATGAGGCTAGAAATACCAGAGCGCGTTGTCCAAAAGGTGATATTGAGCGCTACGATGACACAGGATATCAGCAAGCTCAATTCTCTGAAGATGCGGAATCCAAAGCTGGTAGTTGTTGGAGATGTCAAAGCTCCTGCCGATCCCGAAACGATCGATGCGTCTGCTCCAGAGCCACCAGGGGACGAAAGCAGCACCTTCAATCTACCTTCAACGCTGCTAGAGTATGCAGTGCCCGTAGGCGATGGGGCAGAGAAACCGCTCTATCTGCTGGAACTTCTACGAACGAAAGTCAATGTGTTCGATCTCGACAATGCCGAAGGAACAAGATCCGGCGCCGCTGAAGACGAGGATGAAACTTGCACCTCAGACTCATCAGCATCAGACTCAGACTCGATAAGCTCCTCGACATCCTCTTCAACTAGCAGCAGCCCCTATCTCCCGGGAACCCAAAAGCCAAAACGATCATCCGAAGCCTCAACCTCAGAATCTTCCTACCAAAACACAGCCCTAATATTCACCCGCTCGACCTCATCCGCCACCCGCCTAGCCCGCTCTTCATGAGAGTGAAGAACCTCGACGACCCTCACCAAATCCTCCTCTACCTCATCCTCAAGCTCTACCCGCAAAGCCCTCGCCAACTTCCGCAACCACAAGATCCGCATCATCATCGCCACGGACCGTGCCTCGAGGGGTCTCGACCTGCCCGGTCTCGGGCACGTCATTTCGTATGATGTACCGACCAGTATGACAACGTATGTGCATAGGGTGGGGAGGACGGCTAGGGCGGGACGGGAGGGTAACGCGTGGACTTTGCTCGCGCATAGGGAGGCGAGGTGGTTTTGGAGGGTGATTGGGAGGGGAGTTGCTGGGGGGGAAGGTAATGGGGATGGGGATGGGGAGGGAAGGATTGCGAGGAATGGAAAGGTGAGGAAGATTAATTTGGATCTGGGTGAGAAGGAGGATGATGGGATGATGGAGAGGTATGAGAGGGCGTTGAAGACGTTGGGAGAGGAGGTTGTCAGTGGTCGAAGGGAGAGCGGGACTTCAGCGAAGTAGGTCTGGTTTAGGGTGGTGTTGAGCTTCGCTGTAAGATACCGGATGATGACTTGTCTGAAGCATAAGTCGCATCACGGTCAAGTCTGTGTTCCCCTGTAGAGCGTAGAGTCCTCGTCCGCGTCCACGCCCCCTTCCTCGTATGTATGTATGTGCTACCAGCCTCCTCCCTTCCTTCCTACCCCCAAAAAGACACTCATCACCACCATCCCCTAATCACCACTCCGCAATCGTATCCCCCCTCAACTTCGCCCGCATATCCCACTTCCCCTATCCCAGCAAACACCGAGTCAGCAAATCACATCCACATCATAACCCAGTGAAGTCCGTTGATCCCTCCACACCAACCCCCTCCT